GGTTATTCCCACACAATTTTTACAGCATTGTCTCTCTCCTTTGTCAGCTCTTTCAAATCAGGGATAGCATCCTATCTGGACAGTGGTGTGTTGTGCAGAGCAGATGCTCAGCCATGGCTCCGCAGTGGAGAGGGGATAGGCTCCTCCTTGTACACCTGGGCCTTTTCAAATCTGAGCCCTGAGAGACCTTATTTTGTAGCCATTATTTTGGTCTCTTTCATAATTAATTATGCCCCTTGCTGGAATTTAGTTTTTCAGAGACTTCCATCACCCTTGAACTGTATTTCCACTTATCTCTTGGAATCATGGCAATCTTTCACTAAAGTTATTTTTGCAATGCACTTTCCTAATCTAGAGTCTGGGTGTCCAAAACCAGGCCTGCTAGTCCTTTCTTCCTCTGATTCTAATACCAAGATGGCGTTACTTTTTTTTTTTTTTTTTTGCCAAATTTCTATCACCTTTACATATAATTATGTTGACATAATTAAGCAAAAATTTCTCCTATCTTCTGATACATAAAATTATCAGTCAGGCACGCCAAGAATTTGTCAACTATAGAATGTGAGTTTTAGCAAATGTTCAGAGGTTGAAGTCTCCTATCGTTACTGCATCTTACCTTTCTGCCAGCTTCATGATCTCCATTAGGGAAGCGTGGCCCTCTTCTACCACGTGGTTAGGAGGTACGTGGTCTCTTCCCATAACAGAATGGCTTCAATTTGTTTCCTTTTACCCTTGTCCAGGTGTTTTCAACCATAAAAAAAACTTTAACATATTGTTTCATACTCTTGTTTCTTTAGAACAGGGTCTACCCCATGTTCCAGATGAGTTTTAGCATCCTCATTCTCTCTAAGCACTGCCTGGTTGGGTGAAAGATAACTTGGGTTGTCTGCAAATCCTTTCCGGTTCTATAGAGTGGAAGAGCTCTGGATGTGCAGTAATGAAACCCAGGCTATTTCACAAATGTGCTGTGGACTCTTGTGCACATCACTTAGCCTCTCTCATCCCAGTATCTTCTGCAAAACGAGGTGAGAAGATAAAAGTGTGCTTGGGGTTTCTTCTAGGTCATAAAGTCTTTCTCTGGTTTCACTAGAGAAAAGTGGCTGCTGCCTCTGCTTCTCATAAAGCTACTTAGAGCCCATGGCAGGGGCATGTCTTTAATATTTTAAGAGGACTTTTGAACCAAATAGTTTTCAGAGGCATACAAGGATTTCTCAAAAGGGTCTCATTGGGGCCGGCCCAGTGGCGCAGCGGTTAAGTGCGCACATTCCTCTTCAGCAGCCCGGGGTTCACCAGTTCGGATCCTGGGTGTGGACATGGCACTGCTTGGCAAGCCATGCTGCAACAGGCGTCCCACCTATAAAGTGGAGGAAGATGGGCACGGATGTTAGCTCAGGGCCAGTCTTCCTGAGCAAAAAGAGGAGGATTGGCAGCAGATGTTAGCTCAGGGCTAATCTTCCTCAAAAAAAAAGAAAAAACAGGGTCTCATAAAAGCAACATTTATCATTGAAAAGGTGTCTAATAACACCTTTTAATAAATGTTCAATGATAATGCACTTTACTTTGCATCCTCTTCTCTCTGTGTTAATATCTTTAATTGGATGCTCTAGCAGGGGATTTAGACTTAATTTATTTCAGGTGATGCTGCACTTAGTTATTCAGCTGACTTAATTCAAGATTTAATTATATTAGTGCCCTAAAGTGCTATGTCAGGGAAATAAAACAGACTGATAATTCATCTCTTTGTATTTTGGGGGGTTATTTATCCTATCTCTAAAGTGTTTTTCAAACCATAAAGGACAGAGTGGGCACACTCGCACTTTTGGCCACATCCTAATATGTAAAGTTCTGTATGCGTCAGTTTGGGATTTGCCCAGCTGAAACATAGGTGAAGGCAAAAGTGGAATTTTTTTTACTTGTGGCCTTTCTCTCACAGCTATTAGAACCAAGGTCACGGGTCCAGTCCCTCAGTGTTCCATTCAATCCTCTCTGCTTCTACAGCCCTATGACAGGCCCTCTCATAGGTAGTCCTGGAGGCAGTAAATGTGTTCCTCTCTGTGTCTCCAGCCCCTACTATATGCATAGGCCATATAGGTGCCCAATAAATGCTTGTTCAATTGAATTTGATCACTGCAGAGACAACCAGTTGGAAGTGTGGTTAAAATGGTATAAACCCAACACAGCTATTTTAAAATACAGTAACTCAAAATACTTGCCCCAGTGAGTGAGATACTCCCAAATCTGGCTCATCATTGGAATGGCCTAAGAACCATTTTTTAGGGCTTATTGACTCTATCTCTAGGAATGAGGGCTAGGCATCTGCATTTTAAAGTTTTCCCAGGTGAATCTTAGGGTCAGCCAAGTTTAGGAACTCCAGCTTAATATATCTTTTGTCACATTTATTTACAAAGGACAAGATTGTTTTGTCAGGATAGACCTATTGTGTATTCTAATTTATAGTAAAAACGAGTCTCTTTTATGGTCTGTTAATTATATCTAAAAGACTTCCTTTGAGCCAATAGTTTATGTTTCGTTGGTGGAAGTGTATACAGATGTCTGTAAGGAATAATACGTTCCATGAAGGATTATATTACTGGTGGGTCATGAAATGGGTGTTTTTTACACATGGAAGCTGTCAGATCCCTTGGTTTGTGAAGCCCTGTGAGCCCGCCTCTGTGGAGAGCAGATCTGAGTATTAACTGGAAGTGCAGTAGTCGTTGAGTGAGAGAAATTAACTCTTTTAGGGCTTGAGTAACTTGCAGTAATGTCATCCTGGGTACTCTTTTGCTTTAATCTGAATTACTCTTCATTATAGAATTAAATACCAAATAAATCACCATCAAATATTCAGTTAAGTCTAGCTGAATAAAGTTTATAGAGTAACAAACTAAATAAAGCAATCAGAGAAATCCAGAACATAGAACATTGTACAACACAGCCTGCTCCTTTCAAAATGGCGCTATCTTGGGGGAAAAAAGATTGGTGTGTCATAACAAATGAGTACAATGTGTAAACCAGGATTCATCATGGTTTGGAGGAAAAAAGACTAAAAAAGACATTTTGGAGCCAATTGTGAAAATTTGCACATGGATTAGATATTAGATAATAGACAATTATTGTTAACTTTCCTATCTGTGTTGTAATAGTATCTGCTTATGTGGGCGAATGTTCTTATCTGCGGAGGTGCGTGTCAACACAAGAGTGAAGCATCCTGCAGCCCATGGTGTGTCCAAGCTAAGTCCGACCAGCTCAGAGCCTATTGTTAAATATTCAAGAATTTTGTGATTCCACAACCCTTGGTAGCTTGAAATCAGCTATGACAGGAGTATTTATACCACAAAAATCTGCAAATGCTACAAATAGGGCTTTTTTTCCTCCCCAGGAGAGCTAATTTGCCAACATACCACTACCCACAGCTTACTTTCAAATGGTTCAGAAAATACACACACATACATGTGGAAAGAACAGAAATGGCAAAATGTTAACAGTTTTTGAATCTAGGGAGAGGATTTGTAGTCATTCACTGTGGTAGTCTGGGAGTCAGCAGACTTTTTCTGCAAAGGCTAAAGTGTGAACATTTTAGGCTTTGCAGGCCATAAAGTCTGTGGCAGCTCCTCAGCTCGGCAGCTCTGCCATCATAGCACGAAAGCAGCCCTAGACAACGCTGAGATGAGCGGCGTGGCTGTGTGCCGACAGACTGTATTTAGGAAAAGCAGGGGGCCAGATTTGGCCCGGGGCCATAGTTTACTGACTCCTGTGCTAGTCTTTCAATATTTGTGTACTTTAAAAATATTTCATAATAAAAACAATTTCTGGGGCTGGCCCCGTGGCCAAGTGGTTAGGTTCGTGTGCTCTGCTTGGCGGCCTGGGGTTTTGCCGGTTCGGATCCTGGGCCCAGATATGGCACCGCTTGTTAAGCCATGCTGAGGTGACATCCCACATGCCACAGCTGGAAGGACCCACAACTAGAAATACACAACTATATACCAGGGGGCTTTGGGGAGAAAAAGGAAAAACTAAAATCTTAAAAAAAAAATTCCTTTAACTAAAGTTCAGATTTCTTAGCCTGAGGTCGTCACTGAGAAAGAGAAGATGGAATCAGGGCAAGGGGCAGTGGATGGACAAAATCATTATAAATCTTTTTCAGCTCTAAAGTCTAACCATTTTATTGGTCCTTGCCACATCAAAGAGAGGGAGGGAGGGAAACCCACCAAAGGGAGGGATTGGAAATCAACTCCATTTGTTGGTGAGAATTTACTTTACTTTTTACAAAGAGTGTTTTAGTTCATTCTTCCCAGTCAAATTAAGTCTTTTAGTTTTAAAAATATAGCATTCAGGGGCCAGACCCATGGCTTAGTGGTTGGGTTTGGTGTGCTCTGCTTCGGCAGCCCAGGTTCGTGGGTTCAGATCCCAGGTGTGGACCTACACCACTCGTCAGCCATTCTGTGGTGGTGACCCACAAATAAAATAGAGGAAGATGGGCACAGATGTTAGCTCAGGGCTAATTTTCCTCAGCAAAAAGTAATAATAATGTAGCATTCAGAACTAATGCTATACGTCTTTCTTGAATTTTCATATGGACCATTGTATCAACATACAGTGTAAAAAAAAATTAGTTAACTAGGATGTTAGTGCAGCCGTCCTCACATAAGAATATCAGGCTGCTGGATTCAAGATGCCAGAGGTATAATTGCCCTCCGCCTTCATTATGCGATCCCCTGGCAGGGCACATTTCCTGGTATTGAGGGGTGGGAGTTGGGAGGAGGTGTAATTAGGCTGATTGGAGCTTGTTGTGCTGCCCTGGAGCACAGACACCAAGCAGCCTTAGGGCGTGTTAGTGCCTGGAGGTCATTGGGGAATGATGTCCTCTTTACCTCAGAGGACAGTAGCAGAAACAAGTGAACCTGTATCGTTTCTCCCTTTCTTTGTCTTCCACCTCTCCTCCCCAGTTTAATTGTGCTACCTTACAAACTGACTTTTATTGTGCGTTTGTTTCTTAACAGTTGCGAGAAACAATCAAAGCTGGCAAAGGTGTGACTTCAGCTATTGACCTGTGTCGTTACCATGGAAACAAGGCACTGGAGGCCCTGGAGAGCTTTCCTCCCTCGGAGGCCAGATCTGCTTTAGAAAACATTGTGTTTGCTGTGACCAGATTTTCATGACACCAAATTAAAAAGACACTATTGTTCATCAGCTGAAAAAACTGGGGAAAGAGGTGATCGGGAGAGCTTTCTTGATGAAATATCTAAATGTGTTAATGACTTTAAAAACGTATACATTTTTTTCTTCCTTTTATCAAATTGCTAAATGAATGCTGCCTTCTTTTTGGAACTGCTACAAACAGAATTAGAAGAAAAAAAGGTCAAGCAGTTTTCACTTGTCACGCCAGAAGCACACTTGAGGCTGCAGTAGCAGAAATAATTAATGAGATTCGCTCCTGTGACCTCAGCAAATGGACAGGAAATAAGTCCTTATTGATTGGACCGAGCAGGGATGGCGCCAGGGCATTAAATGGCTTTCCAAAGACTATAAAGCTGGAATGGAGTTTGAATCTGGCTTCTCTGATACCAGCACCATTTTAGTGCCTTCATGCATTCAGCAATTGGCAAGAAGCCAGGGAACCCTAGGCTGAAATAGTCCTAAAGTTCACGTGCAGTGTGGAAATATCTGTGGTGTGTTGCGAGTCTAGGGGAGGATAGTATTAAGTGCCGCTGGACAGGGTGTTAGAAAACCTGGCTTCTGGTTGCAGCTTAGCCACTATCCATCTGTGATCCTGGGTGAGCTGCTGAGCTTCTCTGGACCTCTGTTCTCTCGTCTATATGATTAGAGGAATAAAGCAGGTTATTTCTTTATTCCTTTATGTTTCATGCATTATGCAGTAGCTTAAAGTCTAATGAAGGGATAGCTAAGTGAATGGAGAATTAAAATACAACGCTGTATAGTAATGCCGTGCTCCAGATATGCACAGGGAGCCCAGAGAAAGAGTGGTACCTAGCCCCTTAGGGCTGTCATCCTAGCTGAGTGCATCCCACTCAAGTGGAATTGGGAGTTTGATGGAGGGTGGGGTAACAGTCTTAGGGGACATAAGAGCTGCAAGTAGTTTCCCTAAATACACGATGAAAGGGGAAAGAACAGGCTGGACAAGAGCTAGATCAGGAAAAGGTCTTTCATGCCTCACGAAAGAGCTTGGACTTTTTTCTTAAGGCCGTTGGAAGGCAGCGAAGGGTTTTAAGCAAAATCATATTTGCATTTTATAAAGATCCCTTGGCAGCGTGACGGATGGAGTCCAAGGGCACAGAACCGGTGGTGGGAAGACTATTTAGGAGGTGATTGCAAAAAACAATCCAAGCGAGGGATGATGATAGCCTGAACTAATGTAGTGGCAACAGGAATGAAGAGCAGAGGATAAATTTGAGAGCTGTAAGGGACGTAGAATGGCTAGGACTTAGTGACTGTATCAGTCAAGATGGCTACAGACAACCTCACAGTCTCTCTCTCATCAAACAACAAGAAGTGTTTCTTGCCCACACTACGTGTTCCGTGCAGATTGGAGAGGCACGGTGGTGCTCATTGTGGTCACCCTGGGATCCAGGCTGAGGAGCTTCTCCAGTGTGGCTGATTGATGTGCCAGAGGAAAAGCTCTACAGTGACTCACATGGACAGTTAAATGCCACAGCCCAGAAGTGACATGCATCATTCATGGACTAGCACTTGTCACTTGGCCCCACCTGATCTCTGGGGGCCAGAAAGTTCAGTCATGGGTCAGCAACACCAGTACTGCCGTGGTACCTGACGACACGAGGAATGAAGGAGGACACCCGGGTTTCTGCTTTAGAAATTAGGCAGACATTGGTCATGAAATGGGTGTTTTTTACACATGGAAGCTGTCAGATCCCTTGGTTTGTGAAGCCCTGTGAGCCCGCCTCTGTGGAGAGCAGATCTGAGTATTAACTGGAAGTGCAGTAGTCGTTGAGTGAGAGAAATTAACTCTTTTAGGGCTTGAGTAACTTGCAGTAATGTCATCCTGGGTACTCTTTTGCTTTAATCTGAATTACTCTTCATTATAGAATTAAATACCAAATAAATCACCATCAAATATTCAGTTAAGTCTAGCTGAATAAAGTTTATAGAGTAACAAACTAAATAAAGCAATCAGAGAAATCCAGAACATAGAACATTGTACAACACAGCCTGCTCCTTTCAAAATGGCGCTATCTTGGGGGAAAAAAGATTGGTGTGTCATAACAAATGAGTACAATGTGTAAACCAGGATTCATCATGGTTTGGAGGAAAAAAGACTAAAAAAGACATTTTGGAGCCAATTGTGAAAATTTGCACATGGATTAGATATTAGATAATAGACAATTATTGTTAACTTTCCTATCTGTGTTGTAATAGTATCTGCTTATGTGGGCGAATGTTCTTATCTGCGGAGGTGCGTGTCAACACAAGAGTGAAGCATCCTGCAGCCCATGGTGTGTCCAAGCTAAGTCCGACCAGCTCAGAGCCTATTGTTAAATATTCAAGAATTTTGTGATTCCACAACCCTTGGTAGCTTGAAATCAGCTATGACAGGAGTATTTATACCACAAAAATCTGCAAATGCTACAAATAGGGCTTTTTTTCCTCCCCAGGAGAGCTAATTTGCCAACATACCACTACCCACAGCTTACTTTCAAATGGTTCAGAAAATACACACACATACATGTGGAAAGAACAGAAATGGCAAAATGTTAACAGTTTTTGAATCTAGGGAGAGGATTTGTAGTCATTCACTGTGGTAGTCTGGGAGTCAGCAGACTTTTTCTGCAAAGGCTAAAGTGTGAAGATTTTAGGCTTTGCAGGCCATAAAGTCTGTGGCAGCTCCTCAGCTCGGCAGCTCTGCCATCATAGCACGAAAGCAGCCCTAGACAACGCTGAGATGAGCGGCGTGGCTGTGTGCCGACAGACTGTATTTAGGAAAAGCAGGGGGCCAGATTTGGCCCGGGGCCATAGTTTACTGACTCCTGTGCTAGTCTTTCAATATTTGTGTACTTTAAAAATATTTCATAATAAAAACAATTTCTGGGGCTGGCCCCGTGGCCAAGTGGTTAGGTTCGTGTGCTCTGCTTGGCGGCCTGGGGTTTTGCCGGTTCGGATCCTGGGCCCAGATATGGCACCGCTTGTTAAGCCATGCTGAGGTGACATCCCACATGCCACAGCTGGAAGGACCCACAACTAGAAATACACAACTATATACCAGGGGGCTTTGGGGAGAAAAAGGAAAAACTAAAATCTTAAAAAAAAAAAATTCCTTTAACTAAAGTTCAGATTTCTTAGCCTGGTTTTCAGAGCCCTCCTCCATCCCCTCACACCTACTCCCACAAGGTGTGTCACATTGTCTGTTTTTGTTCCCCGGACACTGCACTCTGGTCTGCTCGGTACCTTTCCTCAAGCTACTCTTTCCCTACAATTCCCTTGCTTCCCCCAACCACATCACTACTTATTGACATTCCAAGACACTCCTCAAATCCCACTTACTCTGTAAGGCCTTCTTGAATCTCTTCTAACTAAAGTTGATCTCTCGGGGCTGGCCCAGTGGCACAGTGGTTAAGTTTGCACGTTCTGCTTCTTGGTGGCCCAGGGTTCGCCAATTCGGATCCCTGGTGCGGACATGGCGCCACATGGCAAGCCATGCTGTGGTAGGCGTCCCACATATAACAGTAGAGGAAAATGGGCACAGATGTTAGCTCAGGGCCAGTCTTCCTCAGCAAAAAGAGGAGGATTGGCAGCAGTTAGCTCAGCGCTAATCTTCAAAAAAAAATTTTTTTAAAAAATAAAATAAAGTTGATCTCTCATTTCTCTGACCATCTGCAGTCCTACACTTGTAACCTGGTTTTGCTGCTTTTCACTATATACAGGTAATTAGTTACTGATCCATAAAACAGAGAAGGATTTTTGTACTCCTTACACATAGTATGTGCTCAATTAATACTTGTCAACTGAAACCCAGTCATGCAGATATCCATGTGACTGCAGGTACCAACCTAGAAGTTTAGAATACAGAATGTTGGCCTGTCTAATTTAGATTTGAGAGAATTAAAGATAATGAAAATAGGGAGCATGTTCTTTCCCTTTTTTCCAAATCTTTAAGGCTGGTCTGATCCAAGTCCAGCTTCCTTTGAGGTGTTTGTGCATCAAACTAAAATACACTTAACCTTGGTAAGTGAGGTGGCTTTCTGGGCAGTGACTAAGGGCTTGAGGAGGAAGAAAAATTAAGTCATTCTGGGTAGCTGTAGTGTTTTAGACACTGTCAAGCACGCTATGCTAAATCATGTAGTCTCCCAACTGTCCCCATTTAGAACTCAGAGCATTAAATGGCTTTCCAAAGACTATAAAGCTGGAATGGGAGTTTGAATCTGGCTGTCTCTGATACCCAGCACCATTTTAGTGCCTTCATGCATTCAGCAATTGGCAAGAAGCCAGGGAACCCTAGGCTGAAATAGTCCTAAAGTTCACGTGCAGTGTGGAAATATCTGTGGTGTGTTGCGAGTCTAGGGGAGGATAGTATTAAGTGCCGCTGGACAGGGTGTTAGAAAACCTGGCTTCTGGTTGCAGCTTAGCCACTATCCATCTGTGATCCTGGGTGAGCTGCTGAGCTTCTCTGGACCTCTGTTCTCTCGTCTATATGATTAGAGGAATAAAGCAGGTTATTTCTTTTATTCCTTTATGTTTCATGCATTATGCAGTAGCTTAAAGTCTAATGAAGGGATAGCTAAGTGAATGGAGAATTAAAATACAACGCTGTATAGTAATGCCGTGCTCCAGATATGCACAGGGAGCCCAGAGAAAGAGTGGTACCTAGCCCCTTAGGGCTGTCATCCTAGCTGAGTGCATCCCACTCAAGTGGAATTTGGGGAGTTTGATGGAGGGTGGGGGTAACAGTCTTAGGGGACATAAGAGCTGCAAGTAGTTTCCCTAAATACACGATGAAAGGGGAAAAGAACAGGCTGGACAAGAGCTAGATCAGGAAAAGGTCTTTCATGCCTCACGAAAGAGCTTGGACTTTTTTCTTAAGGCCGTTGGAAGGCAGCGAAGGGTTTTAAGCAAAATCATATTTGCATTTTATAAAGATCTCCTTGGCAGCGTGACGGATGGAGTCCAAGGGCACAGAACCGGTGGTGGGAAGACTATTTAGGAGGTGATTGCAAAAAACAATCCAAGCGAGGGATGATGATAGCCTGAACTAATGTAGTGGCAACAGGAATGAAGAGCAGAGGATAAATTTGAGAGCTGTAAGGGACGTAGAATGGCTAGGACTTAGTGACTGTATCAGTCAAGATGGCTACAGACAACCTCACAGTCTCTGTCATCAAACAACAAGAAGTGTTTCTTGCCCACACTACGTGTTCCGTGCAGATTGGAGAGGCACGGTGGTGCTCATTGTGGTCACCCTGGGATCCAGGCTGAGGAGCTTCTCCAGTGTGGCTGATTGATGTGCCAGAGGAAAAGCTCTACAGTG